AAAAAGATTACTTGTAACCTGAAATTCCTCTGGGACATGTTTCCTGAAAGTGTCCTCTAACCAGTGCCCTTAAACAACTCATAACTAAGAAACAGGAAAACAAACTAACCCTTATTTTTGTTGCCATCATCAATTTTTGTTGCTATCATTAAAAAAAAAAAAAAGATAGCTATTTCAGCAAAGAAAGGAGTATGATGCAGAACACAAATCAAAAATTTCAAAGAGCTCTTAAAGAGAGAATTCTGTCCCTTGATTGCCTGCAAGTCCTCTTCTCCTGGTGGACCGCAGTATGTTAAACTGAATGTAAAAAGGCATGCAAATTGCATCAAAGATCAAATACAAACAGAGCTCTCTGTGTCAGGCATTTTAATGAAAGTGCTGAATAACCAAGAAATAGTGAACAAAACTATGGAAATTAAAATAAACAGGAGTTTTTTGGTGAGTCGGGGGATGGGGAGGAAATAAAACAATTCATCAAAGCCAAAAAAGAAGCCATTAAATCTAATTACAACCAGTAACAAGAGTTCCATATGATCAACTTACCTACTTCACATATCCATTTATGCCTTTTAACTTAACGCAGCCCAAATCTCATTTTTGGATGTAGGCTCCCTGTTTACTGGGTCTACTGATAAATTAGATAGGTGGAAGAATATTCTATATGGCTGCTTTGCAATTAAGCAAAAAGACCTTTCAACTTTTTTTTTTTTTCCCTTAAAAAATGGGAGGAAATAATATAAAAAATTTCATTTCCATCAAATTCATTATCTTTGAATTTAGGACATACTTTATCATCATGACAGATTAATAATAATGGTCCAGTCATCAGGATCCCCTGATTCCCCTAGTCAGTGTGCTGAGGTAATTGTCATTATAAAGACTTTCCCAGCCGTGTATGTCATCAGTTTGACTGGAGAGATTCATAACTCTGATGAGCGACACAGTAAAGTTATCAGAAGTCAGAGACTCTTGCAGTACCCTTAAAATGTATTTGACAAGGATGTGAAAATTGTGTTCCTGAACCTGTCAACTACATATAGACACCTACCAGAAGAACAAATACAAACTTAATCACCAGTGGATCTGCATGATAAAAACACATTGAGGGGCAGGGAGGGAAGCCTTTCTAGAAGATAAGGTATGCCAGAGTGACCAAACTGAAATGCCGCATGTGCATTCCTACTTTTTCTCCCCAAATATGCATATGAAAGCACATCAACTCCGAGTACAACTAAGGTATTCGGCAAAACTGGGCCTGATTCTTCCTCCTTTCCCTCCCTTACCCCTGCCACCTCCTCGCCAAATCCATCTTGTAGCCTGGTCTGTTCTTCGGCTATGCTTTCAATCTTAACATTGCTTCTAAGTGTGAACAGAGAAAGCACAGTGCCACATCAATTTGACTAAGTTAATTGCAGCCATATTATTAGAGCAACTCCATTTCTACAGATTATCTTTTATTAAGGACCAGCTAGCAGCTTGTGATTCTGGCTCCGAACATATGGTTTCAGCAACAGTAACAGTTCAGATAAAAAGATGACACAGCAGCATTTATGACTGAGGAATGGCCAGGAACATGGGCAGACCTCACCGATGCTCTTCAGATGTATATGTGTAAGAGCATTTAGGGCCATTTCTAAACATAGTCAATAATTTGAAGCTACAGTTTAACAAGCTAATGCTTTCCCATCTACCAATTTGCTTTGCCTTTACTGCAGTCAGACTCTTAGCTATTTTAACCCAAATTTTCCAACCTTCAATGAAGAAAAAGTCTGATGAGGATGTGCTAGGCTGTGCTACTTTATCACTTCAGAAGGATCATCTTTTAAAATCTTTTTTCTGAATGTAGGGGACACACTAAGTCACTGGAGTGCTTTCAGTCCACATACTCCCTTTACTCAACTCTAAAAGAACAGGCATATTCTCCCTTTATTGACAAAAACTTCAAGGAAATAGATCTTTCATCTCAATCAAAAGAACAACAGGATGTGCCCCTATGCATATACACAAACACATAGTACAACAACAAGGACTCAGTATATGAACAGAGCTTGTTGTGGAACACTCAAGAAGTCAAGCCACCGATTCCCAAGGTTATCTTCATCATGAAGACATCCTTATTTATTAGAAACCAGCATGCGTTTCAGTTGCCAGTATAATCAACCACATTTATTGACAAGCACGTTCAGCAGCAGGTTTTGAAGGCAAGCCCGATAGGATATAAGATATGAAACTAGGGTTCAATTGCTTACATTCCACTCTTTAGCAAGACTGATGTTTGAACAAGAAAAAAAAAAAAATTTTATTAACAGCAATCTTAAGTATTTTCTGCTTACTGCTTTGCAAGTTTGATATTTGAGTATATTTGCAGATTTGCAATTCTGTTGCTTTTTTTCTCTCCACTCCCCCACCCCTCCCAAGGAATACAGCTATTTCAAGACCAATGCACTCAAAACATTGAAAAGTAGATGTCAATCATTAATGGATACACAAATTGAAGATGAAGCCCAGTATAGTTCTTATGCTCCTGTGTTTAACTTACTTTCAAACCACAGGAGATTAATCATATGAAAAATTGGCAACTGCCCTTTTGAGAAACTGTACTGTGCTCTGAAGGAGTAACTGGATGACTGCATGCATGTTTTAGAGCTTTTCAGTAATTACTTGCATTCTCTTAGATACAAGAAAGTCTTGCCACCTCACATAAGCATTAATGGTGCCATTACAACTTGCTTTTAATCACAGGCTTGTCAAGCCATGCTAAATTAACATGGGTCAACAGATGTGTTAGGCTATACTAAAACAGATTTTCAGGTCACTTCTCTGAAGCCTTGTTTAGCACTCGTGGTTCCTTTCACATGCCCCAGACTGAACTTTCCCTGCGGCAGTCTCGGTGGTGCCAAGAAGCTCTGAAACATTCCTGAAGAATGTTATCTTGAAGAAATTGCCTGACTTCTGCTGTGGGGAGATACACAGCAAGTTAGGCAACGAAGAGGAATTACTATAACAAAATTAATACATGTTGCATTTTCCCCACCCCAAAGTGGTGTTTTCCAATAAATTACTTGCAAGCTTGCCTGATCACAAGTCTCAGTATATTACTGTAACTTCTAATGACCGCCAGGCTTTTTGGATTCTCTTGGTGTGAATCAACAAACACTAAATTCAGATATTAAG